TGCGAGAAAGATAAAGCTGTTGAGGTCGTCTTGGGCTGCGGGGGCGTTTGAACAGTCAGTTGTGAAGGACTGTATCAAATGCACCTTGAATGTAAAGTGTGACCATAGCCGCACACTTACCACTTCTCATGGCCGCCTCAGCATCATGAATTACACAGGATGCAAGGTCGACTGCAGATCGTCCTGGTACGGAACCGAATAATTGTGGATGAACAGCTTGGTGACTTATCGTCAGCCATGCCATTCTCTTACTAACTAGACGCTCAAGACCTCTGTATAAACTCGACAACAGCGAGATTGGTCGCCAACCATTTTCAGTTGACAGATTTCTACCCGGCTTTGGAAGAAGCACAACTTCTGCCACCCTGAAAGCCGTGGTAAAGTAGCTGATTTTTAGACCAGCCTGGTAAAGATCTTTCACGAGAGGTCCTAAATGGGACCAACAGGCTTTCAGTAACCGTACCGTTATCTTGTCCGCTCCTGGTGCCGTGTCGTTGACAGAGACAGTGGCGCTTGTTACATCGTCCAGTGATAATTCCGTATCCCATAGAACACGCTCCTCCTGTCCATTCTCCCAGGTAGAAATGTCGTTCTCGCCGCTAAACCTAGCCAAGAGAATTTCTCGTAGCGCACTAGCTCGCACTCGCGGGTCAGATAGCCATCGCTTTTCGTCAATCTGCAGAGGAGGTGGCTCAGCAACTGGTTGAGGCTTAGTCCATCTCATGAACAGGGATACATATGCGTCAGTAGTCACTGCCTCCACTTGCCTCTTCCAGCACTTTTGCTTGGCTTTTCGGACCACGGCTCTAAAGCTCTTCCGGGCCTCTTTTACGAGGTCCGAGTTGTCTCTCGCTGCCTTGTACTCTTGCCATTCTATGCGACATTCATCGGTCCACAATGGCCCGGTTTTTCCGCTTTCGATGGTTGAGACTTTCCCTGCGATCTTCAGCGCATCTCCAAGTGCTTATAAGAGATCACTCGTGAAATTTTCGATGTTGATGATACTGTCAAGAGGGCCAGGTTTGGTCCATTGGCTAACATATCGGCTAAATTCCTTCAAGTTGGCGTCGCTGACACGAATGTTCCTTAAAATTCCAGAGAGATCTGACACTGTAGGGTTAAGCATGGTACCTTTGATGGTCGAGTGATCTAGGGTATAGTGGTAACGTGTGGACACTGATGCTATAACGGCCGTTTTGCTCCATGTTAGATCCAGGACGTTCCCTTCCCTGTGCGTTGACTCTCCAACAATTCTGACTAGGTCCATGTTGTGAGCTATTGCCCATCTCATAATCTGGTTACCATTTTCGTTCTGATTTGTCGTTAGCGGCTGCCAATGCTGTTACACAGAATAGAAATCGCCTCAAAAAACCACTAGTCCTCTGACTTCCCACCGGAGTAGGGCTCCAAGGTTCCACTAGTCCCTGGGGCACAATATACGTTGACAAAGGTTAGACCGCCCGTCTTTACAGAACAGTAGTCAGATGTTGGGCCTGACGACGGAAATAATTGAGTCACATGACTACCTTTGCGCGTGAAAGTCATCGCGCGGGGCCGGATGTCTGTTCCTCCGAATAGTATGTGGCTATTGTAGCCAGGGTGACTTTTTGTTATAAAACCCCCCTTTTTCTTTCTTGTCCATGGTTCCTGTACCATGACTACATGTGCACCGGCATCCCATGCCTGCTGCAATGCTATATCCGTATTTTCCCCACCCCTTCCGATATTCACTTGGTGAAAGTGGACGGTGTAATGTTTGTCTTTTGGTGCTTTTGTGAAGAGGTTTCCTAACATTAACACGACATTGTTGAGTCCTGGGCAATGACGGTTTCAACCGCCTTACCCTTCCTTTCAGAGTACGCTAGAGCAGCGTGATAATCACGATGTCCGCGTTCTCTGATGATGTGAATTTCTGCCGGGGTACGGGGTAGAAATATCCCGTTTTATCGTCTTGGCCTGGCCATACAGCTACCCTCATTTGAGAGGTGAGGTCCCGCACAATTCGAGCACTTTGATACCTTGGCCTGGCACTCTGATGTCTCGTGGATTCCCCTACATCGTCCACATCGTTGGCTCCGGGTGCAGGGAAGCGTTGTGTGGAATCCCCAGCAACATTGGCATTGCTCGATCGGTCGTCGGCGTGAAAAGGGGATTGCCTGCCCGCTCTCTTCAAATAGACGAAAGTTTGCGTTCGCTGGTTTCTGTTGGAAATGAACAATCCAGCTCTTTTAGTATTGGCCAAGTTTTGTTTCTTTGGGCCTTACCTAGATTGGTGTGGCGCCAAATACTGCCTGGCACTCGTTCTTCACCATGTCGTTAGTGACTGGGATGCTGCCTTCAAGCGTCTTGGTGTACAATGGCACATGAGGTACTATTAATGATTTCCACTTGGACGCTTCCTCAATCACAGTATTGTGTTCCCGTAGGGAAGGTGCAATCTTCATGATTGTATCTCTCAATGCATCTGATGTGCATTCGAGAGCAATCCTCGACCTGACTGGGTACATCGAGCTGATGGCTGAGGCTGCTATCCCAGCCTTGTCGGTTATTATTTTCTTGATCGTAACTGGCGAGAGCTCGTGCCAGTGGTGATCTTTCCTCAATCGAAGGAACAGGCGTTTATCTTCCTTTGAGGTTTTCTGTGCCTTCGGGCCGCTTGTTGGAGCTGGTCTTCTCGGAACTTGCGCACTAGGCGGAGATGGTAGCTTGGCCGCTTTGTCGAGTACTGTCGCCCAGTTCGAACTTGTGTCTTGAGTTTTTAGCGGTAGGCTGTGGCCGTTATCCTCAACAACGATATAATCCCCAGACGCAACTGGTTTGGGAGAGCTTGCCATGGTGGGGGGCTTCTTATTTGGAAAGTTGTGTGCTTCTGCCTGATCTACTGCAAAAGCAGTTATTACAGGCGTGATCTTTTCCAACAGAGTCGCGACAACTGCTGCCGCTTGCTTCTCTTCTTTGATCTTAGCCCAGGGGTCGATTAATTCAAGAAATTCCTGGGCTACACCCAATCTGTGTTTTCTTTTTTGTTCTGCTTTTTGCATTGTATTCACAATGCCAAACAGGCTTGGGTGAAGTTTCCCTCCTGAATTGGAGTGCGTTGTAGATGAAGATGCAACAGCTGGGGCCATTGCACCGATTGGAGATTCTTGTAAGTTAGGGTAATGAGTGGTGCGATGTGGGATTTATATGCATATCTTCATAGTCATGGACTCATTAGAGACGTAAATTTAATTCTATTCTTTTCCTCAAGTCACAAGAAAAAAGTCTGAAGGACCAAAAAGAGGGCCGGGACCACCACGTAAGGTAGTCGAAGCCTCAGCGGCACTAATAATACCCGAGACGGTCTCACCACCATTGAGGCCGACTCTTCGGATACTTCTAAGACCAAACCCGAGTGATGAGGTGCCTTCTATTTTTTAAAATTCTCCTAGTAATAGTTTGATCGAAGGAGGAGTTAGTGAAATTCGGAGAAAGTTTATGAAATATTGGTTGAAAGGAACCTCCTCATCATTGAGGTGGGTCGGTTCAGAGTGGTAGGAAAGTGGGTTTTGTTTCTTCAAAGCTTTTTCCCTTCTTGACATGGCTTACCGTCTTTATGGTTCTATGTATAGAGACCGCGTAGGACGTTAAACCAGAGAAATGAATGGATATCCTACATTAATAGAATAAGTGAGTGAACGAATATGTGTTTACTATTTTAATGATTCCATCATTTGTAAGGGCATGTATGTTCTTTCTGCCTGCAGGCCATAAGCATCTATGCCTCGGGTAATGTGCTCCGTCCTATGCCTCCTTCACGACATCTTTCCAGCAGTAATACCCCCATAGGTCTTCATTCGAGTACACACTAAGAGCAGCCGTTCTCCCGTCATTATCTCTCTTCTCCACCCAACTAATCGATGGCCATTTACGAGTTTATGGCAGCCGGAGAAAATCGCAAAAAGCACTAAGTGCGGGCCTCTTCTAATACTGACATTAGGACTAAATCCGAAGACATAGTGATCCTTCTGGAGCGTTCGAAGAGGCCGGCTAGCTGGGCGCTGCAGACTTGTGGGTACCTCGGAGAATTCACCCTCTGCCTTTCTAGCCTCCTTCCCGAAGGTCGTGCTGAAATGTCAGAAAAGTCTTGACAGAGCGTGATTGCTGTATGGTAGCTTAGCGAAACTTCTATTGTACCATCCAGGGCTTTGGAGAGTCCCATTGACTCATCGACAATAGAAGCCCTCCTGGCTAATCAGCCGAGATCTCGGTCTTGGCGCCCACAAATGTTGCAAAGTTGAGAACAGCTTGAAAATATCAGACCCATCATTCCCACAATAGATCACTTCCTTTTCTCTTTCCACACCCCAGTCGCCTGTCCTTCCTCAAGATGTATAGCCCCAATAAGGCAACAGTCCTCCATAAACTAAGACTCAAACTTTGTAGATTATGATTTAGTTTCCTCCTCGCGGGTATATGTAGCGTCGTAAATTTGTAGTCGGAGATGGCCGGTGACGAATGAGATAAGCTCCTGTTTGAATTTGAATTTACGCCTCTATCAGTCGTTGAGGCGAGGCGGTGTGTAGTAATGTTGGGGTAGAGGACTTCAGTGAGAATGATAAGACTGACATTGATGAGAAATCGCCGATTATAGATGTGTTTGTGTTTGTTTTTGCTTTCGACTTGGATTCGGATGCGATTCTTCTTCGCTACTCCAATCATGCAGAGCTTACTGAGCGATTGCACAGCCACTAGTAGAGGGTGAAGAATTCGACTTTGCCAGCGAGAGAATGCCCTCATGGAGGCATCGTAAATTGCATATTTAAACAATTCCACAGCGCGACGTTCACGACGCGTGGAGCAGAGTCACAATGACTACAAATCAGGCTAAGTCGCTAGTGGACCCTGTGTGTCAACAGCTCAAATTTTCCTGTTACCACTTCAGATCAAATCACAGAAGATCAAGTACTTTTCCGACTCTCAAATTTAAAATTCAAATTAGGAAATCAGAGAGAGTTATCATGACATCCTTCCTGACCAACCTCGTTCAATCTATTTTCATTCCCGGTCCTACACCAACTCTACTCGTCGCAACCAATGCAACCTTCGCGTGTCTTCAGGTGCTACTATTTGTTCTCTTAGTATCGACTTATAGCTACCATTTTCTCATTCTATCAATCCTCAGCGCCAGCCTATGGTCTTCAATAAACTGGTTTGTCAATGAACTTAAGGCGGCACAATCGGATGAAGCCCAAAAGAAGATGAATGATGGTAGTTTCAGCAAATTAAATGACGAACCAATCAAGCATGGGTCTGAGAAGCCGAGTGCAATATCATACTCTAATGACAAAGAGATCACGAATAAAGGTTCCATCACAAGGGATTTTACGAGTTGCAGAGAAGAGAAGAAATAAAAATTAACTCAAATGAATAATTGCAACAGCTTTTTAGCTCACCCAGTGAGCAAAATGAAAAAAAGAGATTACGAGAAAATCAGCGCAAAGATATTATTTGGCCACAAGACTGAACAGCTCGAATAATCACCCACAATCATCAAAATAATAATTTACAGTAAGACTGAAGATTCATATCGTCATCATTTAATATATATAAAGTTACCCACGCAAGAACTAGCTCTTTCCTGCTTAGCCATTGCGCATTAGGCTTCATTTCAGTACCTTCAGGATCGATAAATATGAGAGCTGCCAGGAATATATTACATTGTGGGTGGTATAAGTTCCAGGTTTTTATGAATGCGGCAACATGTAAAAATGTAATATTTATGTATGCTCCAGGGCTTGTGCGAAACAAAATGTACCATATCTAAAGATTGTGACAAGACCAGGACTCATAATTCAATGACTACCTAGCTTGGGTAAATACGATTCTTTCCTTTCTCAAAAAGCGGTTAAAGAGCTAGATGTTGGCAATTATTTCCTCAGCTGAACAAAATCTGCCCTGACCCTGTTCTAAATCCTTTCTAACCTAATAAATTCAATTCCGCCAAACTAAAAGACTCAACATCTATCATAACCAAAAATGGAACTCTCCTACCGGCTTCTTTACCCAAGCCTGCTTCAGTGGTGAAACAATTTGTATGAGTACCCTACAATTTTATAGGTGGCGCTACATAAGACAAATTTATAAAATGTCGTGGAAAATAGGCTAAGAATATCATTCTGTCTTGATCTTTGTAACGAGAAAACACAAAAATTTGCCAAAGCCTGCGTCCTCGTGCCTTTAAGGATACAAAAGTGACTTTCTGTCATGCCTATGCTCAATTTTATTTTTCATCTTCGTCAAAGACATCAAACTTTACGCGGTTGACACCCCTCATACTCATGGTGAGCTTGGTAAGGATAGGAACGAGCTGTATCTTGCTCTCTAAAGTTTACAGTTCATTGATCTTCGTTCTAAATGTATGGCAGGGCCTCCGTAGGCTCTCCTCATGACGTCAATGATGCCATATCTCCTCAAAACTTTTCATCTGGGCAGTTAAATCAGCGGTTAAAATTGACCGTAGTAGGTTTACCCCACATTTACAAGCTAGGCTCATGGCTACGATTGGTACAGGATGAGCCTGCTAGCAGATAGATTATGGTTGGCTGCTTGGTTATTGACTTTCCGTCTAAGCTATCTATAGAGCTATCGATCTAAGTGCCAAGGGTTTGGATGGTGCGATGGTACACCATTCGGGCCGTTCTCCCTAGTAGATTCTGGGTAGCTTAAATACCTACCCCATTTGAGACAGGAGAAAGTTGGTTCGAATCCGGTAAATCCACACACCACTCTCTCACGTAGCGATATTGTACTTGTGGGATGATGAAATCACACTCGGATAACCATAGGTTTTTACACTCTTACCTGTGGTGGATATGCGCAGAAGAGGTTATACGCTGTAAGGGTTAGACTCGAGTGGTAACTGCAAATGAAATCTAAGTGTGAGTGTTCTAAACGTCAAATTGGATCGCCCTACTTAAAATACATATCCACCGATAAAAACCTGCATGAGCCTCAAGGCGCCAAATCAGGATAATGAATAATTTATTTACTTATATATACTTTAAGTGGGGTGATTTAATTTGACGTTTAGAACACTCACACTTAGATTTCATTTGCAGTTACCACTCGAGTCTAACCCTTACAGCGTATAACCTCTTCTGCGCATATCCACCACAGGTAAGAGTGTAAAAACCTATGGTTATCCGAGTGTGATTTCATCATCCCACAAGTACAATATCGCTACGTGAGAGAGTGGTGTGTGGATTTACCGGATTCGAACCAACTTTCTCCTGTCTCAAATGGGGTAGGTATTTAAGCTACCCAGAATCTACTAGGGAGAACGGCCCGAATGGTGTACCATCGCACCACCTAAACCATTTCTAAGCATCAGACCACCATCCGATTCCGCGGTATTGTTAAGCATATTAGCGCTCCGTATACTCAACATCAGAATGGAGTCTCTGAAAGACTAAACCGTACACTTATCACTATGGCTAGATGTATGCTTTTGTACGCTCGTCTTCCCATTTGCTTTTGGGATGCAGCTGTTCTTACAGCCTCGTACTTGCGCAATAGGTTACCTTTTTTCGCTAATCATAAATATCCTTCTGAGATTATGAATGGATTTTCACCAAATATTTCACATTTGTGAGTGTGGGGCTGCATATGTTTCACATTGATAGATATCATGGACCCTCAACGTTATAAATTGTCTCCGTCGTCAAGAAAGGGAATCTTTGTCGGATATTGTGAATCTAGAACCCAGTATCAGGTCTAAATTCGCTCAAAAGATGGCCATGATAAGACAATTATCTCAGCTAACGTATGATTCTTTGAAGATCAGTCCTGTGATTGGAGTAAATCAGCTCGTGAACAGTTTGATAGAGGAGATTTTGAGCTCCTAGAAGGTCAAGAAGCTATTGATGCTAACAATTTATCAAATTCTCAATCCGAATCCAAATCCGAATCTGACCCTGAGCCTGAAACTTATATCAGAGCTTCTTCCAATAAAGGACCTCGGAACTATTGATAACATTTTAGGATGGAAGATAATCCGAAATAGAGCACCAAGGACCCTAAAGATTTCCCAGTCTCATTATATCAACGATAAGATTGTATCCTTCGGATTGAGTAATGCGAAACCTTACAATTCTCCATCAGAAGACTATAGTGGAATTTTACCAACATATGAAGGAGAATTACTTGCTGATGAGTCCGCAAACTCTAGCGCAGTAGGAAGTCTAGGGTATGCATCTAATAGTACAAGACCTGACATTACATTTGCAACCTCACAGCTTGGTTGGCACAACTCATCTCCTGTCGAAAGACACTGGAACAGTACCCGTAGAGTTTTAAGGGATCTCAGGATTATTGTATCACCTATAACTTTGGCCCTAATTCCTGTGAATGTGAACCAAAACATATGGCAACGTTTTATTCAGATTCAGATTACGCATCAGATATTTCTACCCGCCGATCAGTAAGTGGCTACATCTATATGCTTGCTGGAGGCCCTATTTCTTGGCAGTCAAAAAGACAAAAGTCAGTTGCGACTTCCACCATGGAAGCCGAATATATTGCTTTATTCGAAGCCGCTAAACAGGTGATTTGGATAAATAGATTTCTGAGGGAACTTAAAGTTACTGATCAACTTGTCAATAAAAACGGCATACTAGTGCTTACTGATTATCAGAGCGCACTTTCTCTCATTGAAGGGACCAGCTCAGCAAAAGCAAAGCATATAGATGTCACCCATCATTTCACTAGGGATTGTGTCATTAATGAGAATATCAGAGTTGAGTATATCCCGTCTGAAAAAAATTTGGCCGATATCCTGACAAAGCCATTACCTCATCTAAGGGTTAAATTGCTTTGCCAACAGATTTTCCAGACAAATAAGAGTCCCAAGTAGATTGGCCTCGTCAGTTAGGAGAAGTGTCAGAAACCAATGTTCTTACCATCGTGCCTTGTTTATTTCTTATACAATTCATGACAGAGTCCAATACCAAGCTGTGGCTCTCTAGTCTATTCAATCAATAGATAGGAAGGTTCGGTTGCGGGATATCATACATGATGTAATTATTCTAGTATTGCATATGAAGTAATTGTTCTGATATAATTTGTTGTCAACAAGTTTATCTGGTCAGGTAGAGCTTTGACTTCGATGGTTTACTGAAACTTATATAAGTAGAATAATTAAGATAAGAAAATTAATGAATTCAAATTCTATAATCCTTACTTTCCACGACAATAGTTGAAGTAGGATGTGTATGGATAGCCACAGAGGAAATATTAAACTACCTTCGTATATCTGATTGCTCCAGTATCGACACTTGAACCGTGACAAATAGCCGCCATTATTAATCTAAATTTCCCACGTACACTTAAACAACTGGAACATCCTCTTAGGCTTACCTCTTGGTTAAGGACTTTTATTCCAAATTATGCAATGCTCTCTGAACCATTACATCAAAATAAAGTAAGACAATGTAGAAATGACAAAAATTTGTCCCTCGCCAAATCTATGAGATTGAAACAGGCAATTCGCACGAAAATTAACGATGTCTTTCCATAGGAAACAGCATCTTTCAGGTTCCTACAGGCTGATTCTCAAAAGGCTACAATGCCAGTTTATTTTAATTCAGACCTACGTTTATATGCAGACCTTGACACTTTCAAGGGGGACTATTCTCAACACCTGTCAGCGGTGTCCCCTACGAACCTCCAGCTCTCACTGTAGAGTCTGCAGAGCCGAGATTGAGTAACAAAGTCCTCACTTCAAAGAGGATTCCCAATCGCTTTCGCGGTCTGTATCGTCTTCATCTCTCAACACATTCCCCTATCACCATTATCATGAAGCTAACCACGATCAGATCAGATGGTAGGGTCGGAGCTCTACTCATCACCAAACCTTGATCACGGAGGAAAAGCCATCCGATGAGTTTCCGGAGCGTACCCAGCACCCGATACGGAGATGGTGGATTGGATCAAGTCGGCCTCGACTGTTACAAAGAAGGGAGATATAGATGAATATGCGCACCTCATGTGGTCCCGGTGTCTAGGCCTCGCCTGGCTGGGGCTGCAGGTTTTTTGAGACCTTTTCCCGCGCACGCAGTTTCCATTGCTACCATTTTTTTTTGGGTAGAAGGTTCCGTGGAAAAGGTGGCTGAATTCCACGGGTAAATACTGAGCTGAATGGCTATTCATCAAGGGGAATATATCAATGATCTTTCAAGTAACAAAAGAGGATAGGAGCACTGTACAAGGTGTGGCCTGGGTCAGAGAGGAGCCCAATGTGCTAGATAGTCATAGACTCAAGTAGCACAATAAACACAAACACACACTTGACACTTTCAAAAAAAGAATCGGCGCAATAATTTATCACTCAACCACTGATCTACCTACACAAAAA